CTTTAGATAATTGCAACAAATTGTGTCTCCCAATTCATCTCTTTCCATTTCCTAGGTTGATAGTGAAGATATTCTTCCCATTGTATGCAGAGACCTAGAGCGATGAGGTGATATATTTAAAAACAGACAATTATTTTTTTTTTAGTGTCAGAGGCGGAGGCACCACCTAGAACTTTTGATTCTGTTAGGACAGTCCTTTGTCCAAATACCAGAACATGCCGGCTAAATATAGGGTGAGTTCTTTTCTCTCAGTGTCTCCTTTTAAGTCAAGTCAGGGAATTAACTGAATAATGTTAAAGTATGTAGACACTGTAATGTGGTCTTGTATCATCGTAGGGACATAATACCCCATAAGACTCAATAAAAACAAAAAGTTAAGAAATAATGTTTATTTGTTTACAGGCACATCTGAACCCTTTTTTTTCTTAACCTTTTTTTAAAACTTCTGGCAGCTAATAGCAAGTGGTCCTTCCTTCCTTCCACTGTAGCCATTAAGAGTTAGGGGTCAGACCCTGATTAGAAAAGTGAGTGGAGATTAATGTGTCTGAGTTGATTATATAGATTCCAAAAAGGGGCCTCTGTTTGTTTAACACTTACTGCCTTTCTGAACCAAGGACAAGTCAGAAGACATTTCTCCCTAAATCTAATTTCTAGTAGGCATTCAGAGCTTTGGAGATGAGTGACATCATTGATGGTGACAACAGTTTTAATGCTGGATGATTCATAACGCTGACCTCTCCCTCACTGCTTAGGATGTTTTTAAACTAGACGTTTTAAAAACCAACTGACTGCTGTCAAGTTGATTCCAGCTCGTGGCACCCCTCTGTCAGGTTTCCAAGGCTGTAAATCTTTCAGGAGGGGATGGCCCATCTTTCTACCATGATGGTGGCTTCAATCCGTCGACCTTTCAGTTAGTGCAAGCACATAATTCACTAAGCCACCAGAGCTCCTTAAAGTTGTCGTTAGCATATTCTACTTTAGATATTCAGAAATACCACGTTATTATTTAGAAGTCTTTTTAATACTTTGTCTTTCCAAGTATTTGTTAAATGACAAGAACTCATATGTCACTTGAAAGAAGCAGCTTGCCACTTTGGAGCAGCCCTGAAGGACTTGCTGGTTTGTACAGTGTTTAGAACAAATGACTTACATCTTATCTTCACAGCAAGAAAAAAGAAATGAGATTTTTCTTTCCAAACAGTTCAGCAAAATATCAGTCCACCTCTGACTGTCATCATGCGCAATCCCTGAACTATGCTGAGCATCCAGAGGAATGAATTAGGCAGCTTACCTTGAGCCTGGGCACATGCCTCAACCTTGAACCAGGGACTATAGGAGGCTGAGCTTGGGAGAAATTGTTCCTCAGTGGGAAGAAGCGAGGTGTACTCTGTAAAGGATAAATGAATGCCAGGTAGCAAAAGTGCTTGTCTAATCATAACTGCCTACTCTTGGCAGAGCAGATTATCCAAGAGGCTGGGCTCTATGAGGAGAATTGTGGCATCAGGATTGGTAGAAGGTCTATTAACAATCTCCGTTATGCAGATGACACA